GATATACTATAAATCCTCTAAGTTTTAAAATCAGAGATGGAATCTTTAAGAATCAAACAAAGGGTTTTATTGATAGCTGAGACAATGACTTGAAAACTAAATGCTGGAGAATCTGTGCAATTTTTTAATTGGTGGAAGAATGCCAAGGTTATTAGTGTTATTTTCTAACAGTGGAGTGTTTTCTTTGATGACAAGATGAACATTTTGTAAAGGCTGTATCAAAGACCTTGGGAGAAAAATCCTCTGTCAGTAATAACTAATTTCCTAGTAATTGAATTCATTAGAATGCAAAGATTCTGAGGGTGCAACTTTGTGAGTGCGATATGTATAATAGCAAAAAGAAGCAATTTTTGTGGTCAGATGTGACGTGATTTTCTTAGAGATGATGTGATTTATCATGAGGAGGTGAAGAAACACAAAAATGTTTACAGTAAACAGGTGTGCTGAAATTAGATTCATTTGAGGATTATAAGAACATCTAGGAAAAGAAGGGAATTGTCATATTCAGTTTCAAAAGTGAACTGGATGGCTGAGTCAATTGAATTTATAACAGATAAAATCAAGGATAAATCTTCTGTATCACAATCAGAAAGTAAAAATTGCAGTTTGCATAGCAAATTCAGAGATGAAAAGATAGTTTCTCAAATAATTTGACTTCAAAAATAGTGCACATCAGTGCTAGCAAGTAGAAGACTGAGGAAATTACCCATACCTAATCCTTCAATTCGGTGATAGTATTTATTTTGGAGAACAAAGTGGATTTGACTCAGACTTTTGTGAGAGAAATTAACTCTTCCTTTTCAGAATGTGTGAAATGGAATTCTCAAAGCATAGTTTCAGAACATTTTAGTGTTTTCGCAACTGTACCATTAGCAAATGGGGATTAAATATCAAAAGAAATCATAATTGAGTGCTGGGGATAAATATCTTTTATACTTATTGAGGACTTCAAAAGAATTTTTTTATGTTTGAGTAAGGGTAAAATAAGTATAGGGGAATTTTTTTTTTAATTATTATTTTTATTTATTTATTTATTTTAAATCCTATGCCTGTCTAGGGCACTTCTGACATTAAGTGACGAGCAGCCTAATAAAATGAAGAAGAATGCTAATGATAATTAAAACTAACATAAAAAAGTTGTCATTAAAAAACTTTAAAACAATGGGGCAGTTCTTGAGATGGTCGTCATCCATGTCACCCTGATGACATAAAGGGCAACAAGCTGAATCCTTGATTCCAGAATGACATAAATGCCTTTGTAAATAATCATGTCCAGTTAGCATTCAAAAATAAGCAACTCCAACAAATCGTAGCAAAGAATTGGAAATTTTGTTCTTTATGTTAAGCAGGATCTTCTGCTCTTACCCACAGCTGCATCTTTATATAAGAACATTCTATTATTCTTAATTTTATTGTTTACAATCCTTTTAATGTTACACAAAGGCAGAATAGAATTAGGCTGAGTCATTAGAGAACCAGCTTTAGCAAGTCTATCAGCCTGCTCATTACCAAAAATGCCACAATGGCTCAGAATCTATTGGAGGGTAATATTTTCTCTAGAATTCGTAAGTTCAAAAATCCTTGCTCTACAAGTATGGATATGTGCATTTTCATTATAGGGGCAAAGTCTAGAAGCTAAATATTTGGCCAAAAGATACGATACTGTTTCTAAGTTAGAAACTATAGCTCAAAAAAAAAAAAAAATTCCACTTTTGTGAAATTTAGGAAGCCCATAAAATTTAGCACAATTAACAATAGTTGGAATAGTTGGAATGAGGGATTTTTATAACTGAGTTGGAAGTAGATTTAACAGCTGTTTTAACTTTCATGAGGTCAGAAGTTGAAGGCTTCTTAATGATGTCTTATTTGGGGAATCTATGGCATAAATTTATTTATTTATTGGGCATATGTGGCAGATATTGCAGATCCTTACATACTTATATTAGACTTTCTGAGGAAATACAGTTTTTCTTTTAAAAATAATGAACTGCATTCTGCCTTTGAGAACATAACTCTGTTCAAGATTAATGATGAAGGCATTAAACCATACACCTAAATAATAGCTCACAACTATATCACAGTACCAAGAAGGGCCGAATTTTTACTACATGGATCCATAGCTAAAAACAGAAGTTTCTTGTATGGCATATTGAAATAATCTAAGAACTGTAATAACCCAAAAGGAGTTCTAGTACTCATCGACATTCGACACTCATCGATCTGTCAAAGCACATCATCCTAGTCAGAGTTGCCAGCGTAAGAGATAAAACAAAAGTCATGAGGCATGGCGAAGTGGTTGCAGCATGTACTCTAGTGGCCTGCATTAGATGAATCAGTCTACAGTCTCTGTATTTTCAGAGCCTAACAACGGAGTTATCATAGAATGCACAACTAATTGATGAAGAGACGAGTGCTGCAGAATACATCATTCAAGAATTTCAAGATGTTTTCTCCCACATATCTTCTGATGTAGGTTGAAGCAGTTCAGCCCAACATACTATTGATACAGTAAATCATCCACCAATCAAGATATCCAAGACATCTACTGATTGCTGTTGTTTTTTGGCATAGATAAAATTGTAGAACATTTCCACCATTACCTCTACGGCAGAAATTTCCTCCTCAGCACAGATCACTCATCATTGACCTGGCTCTTAAATTTCAAGAATCTCAAATGCCAAATAGCCCAATGGATACAGAGATTGCAGGAATATTATATCACTATCTATCATTGGAAATAATTGTCATATGGAAATGCTAACACACAGTCTAGAAGACCCAGCCAATATTGTTCCAGGGTCGAAGTGAAATACAAGCTGTTAATCTAGTTACAACTTCAACAGTGACAAAGAAGTCAGTTGGAAGATAGCAACATTCAACCCACAGGTGACTAAATGAAGTCTTCAAATAAGAAACCTACCTCTCAGGGAATTTCAATCTATAATCCAACAGCAAAATTCTCTGGGACTGATTCCATATTCAAAACGGTTTCTTGTACCAGAAATTTGAATTGGATGAGGGAAAGCCTTTCTGATGGCAGCCGATACCGAACTACATAGCAGCCCTGCAGGAGATCATCTCAGAATAATGAAGACTTTTCAGAGAGTTTGAGAGCTTTTCTACTGAAGTAATGCAAAAGTGGTACCGATCTTGCGATGCCTGTGCAGGTTGGTAAGGACTGAAGAAATGAGCTGAGGGAAGCTGCAATGTTACAGTGTAACAGCACCTTTTCAGTGCATCACCATCAGCACTCTAGGACCTCTGCCATGAACTGCTGATAGCAACAAATACATCCTCTTTGTCATTGATTACTTTACAAAATTGCCTGAAATATATCCTATTTCTGTTCTGATCAAGAGGTTTTCACGGTAACAAGGTAATGACAGCATTGGTTTATCCGGTTTGGATTGTCTTGTTAGTTACATTCTGATCAAGGAAGGAATTTTATCTCAGCTGTTAAAAAAATAAAAAAAAACTATGTTAGCTACTTAGCATAGAAAAAACCAAATGACACCTTTACATGCACTGCATAGTGAGAAAGTTTAACTGAGCCATCCTTAATAACCTCTTCCTGATGGTTTCCAGAAATCAACAGGACTGGGACCAGAATTTACCTCTCTTCTTACTGGCCTGTCTATGAGACTACTGGCTATTCCCTATCACAGATGCTCCTTGGTCTTTATTTTTGTTTTTCTTGTGATCTATTTTTTAGTCGCCCTCCACATGCACCTTCATTGCATGAGGAGTACATTAAGAATATTCAGACACTATTTGAAGTGATACCTAGTTAGGCATGAGAGCAAGTCAGTTTGTTGATGCAGTAGATGCCTGTGCAGTAGATAAAGACTAGATATGACACAAGAGCTACAGGACATTGATCTAATTAAGGTGAGAAGGTGTGGCTATGGAATCTGATTCAATGGAGAGGACTTTCTCCTAAACAGGCTGAACGACATCTTAGTTTGGATCTGTAAATCATCAAATTCTAAGTCTTCCATTACGACAGGCTAGCCCCTTACTATGGCTATAGTATGTAGTTCCCATAGTAATTCCCATATGATATAAATATTATACCAAGACCATGTCCTATATGTATATAAATTTGTAAATTCATGCAAGTATTTATTGATTTCATATTTTATTAATTGTATGCTATTTATTGAAATTATCATTTTAGGTATTGCATTTAGTACTCAGTTATCAATTTTCCTTAGTTGTAGATATAGCTTTCTATCTTGATATTGAGCTATCCAGGAAGCGCCATCCATGAAGAGAGTAATGTTATGAATTATGTATATATGTTAATAATTTTAGTGTAGTTAACATGTAAATTGTAGTATATCTAGTATAAAGTAACATAAAAGGCCTCAAGAATATATTCTTCACTAGATAAATAAGGTTACAGGGGCATATCCATTTAACATTGAAGTAAATGGTTATCTCGTCTATTGGCAAGATAGTACGAAACTGGCAGTAGTTTGGGAAACTAATTTTTGGTGCCATATTTTAGGGCAAAATATTGCAAAAAAGAGGTGGCTTATTTTCGATTAAATATGGTATCTGAATCTATCAATCATGTTAACTAATTATATTAATTAATGTATGCTTACTAATAATTATAATTAATCATACCTTATATAAAAATCTGCAAAAAGTTTGTGAAAGGATGTTTAGTTCTCTTGAAGGAAATACTCACTTTAATCCTCCCTTGAATTGTTTTAGCTTTTGCTATCCTTTTACTTGCCCTTTATGTATTTTACTATAATCAATTACATACCTATCCTGATTAATTTGCCAAAATATTTGCTTGATTCCTGTTTCATCAAAGGTAAAAATCTTGTCTCTCTCTCTCTCTTTTTTTTTTTTAACTGAAATACACATTATTAAATAATGCACAAACTTTTTTCTATATTCAAAATATTAAAATACTTAAATGCACTTTTTAATTGTACTCTTTTTTAAATCATGTAAACTAAAAAATGTGTTTATTTATTTGGTAGCATTGTATTTCTCAGCTGTTCAGCAACAATTAGCTGAAATCAAGGAGCTTCAAGAAGAGGAAGATCTTGAATTGCCAGAAGATTTTGACCATATGATGTAATATTCCTGTATATAATATTAGCATTATTATTATTAGCAATATATTCCTCTACATAATATTAGCATTATTGTTTAATAAAATTAATAAACATTTTATGATAAAATGTTTGTAAATTTTATAATAAATTTAAGTTACTGTATATATTAATTGTTAGTTTTAAAAAATGTGTAAGTATTTCATTAGAAATTTGAGATATTAGTGCAGATCATTGTTTAGTTTTTTTTTAATAGTGAAACTGAGCAAATAACATAATTTTTTATTATTTTAACAATAGCCTGGAAGACATATATTACATTTATTATTTTTTACATTTTTAATGAATAATGATGATGGAGAATTAATCATAATTAGTAATTCATTTATACGAGGGCTATCCAGAAAGTAGATTACGTTTTGGAATAAAAAAATAAACAAAGTATAGGAAACAAATTTTATTATATACAGATGAAAGCCACCACAAATCCCCACTACTTTTCTACATAGTCACCATACAAATTAAGGCATTTATCGTAGCGATGTACGAGCTTGGAAATTCCTTCGTCGAAAAATTCGGCCCCCGCCTCCTTCGCCTTCAACCACTTCGTTACCTCTTCCTTCCCTCGTCCTTCTTGCATCTTCAAAACTGCTTGCACAAACTTGTGGTAACCAAGCTTTTCGCTGATGATTTCGTGCAACAAACTTCGCGAAATTTGTGGAAAACTCAAGAAAGTTCCGTTATTGTGAAATTCGATTTTCACGGACTTTAGCATCGACTTTTTCGAGAAGTTCGGCGGTCACTATGCTGGGTCTCCCACTTCGATCTTCGTCGTGAACATTGGTTCGGCCATTTTGAAATCTTATGACCCACTGACGCACTCCACCTTCAGTGATAATGTTGTCCCCATACACTTCACGAAGCTGCCGATAGATTTCTATCGGTTTACAGTTTTTTGCAGTCAGAAACCTTATTACTGAGCGCACCTCGCAGCTCGCGGGATTTTCAATTAACGCAGACATTTCAAACCGTCACAGTATCTGAACGGAGCACAGCACGAACCTCTCACTAGCACGGCTAGATGCAGACTGAGCTGCGCAACGCTCTGACCCCAAGATGGCCGCGCTAACCCCACCCCTAGCGGACACAGACGGAAACATAATCTACTTCCTGGATGGCCCTCGTATATAAATAAATTGTTTTCATATTTTTCATAAATTTTATATAAAGGAATCTCAGTACAGTTTGTGTCTAAACTTGTTAGTTTTGACACAATTTTTTTTTTGGGTGGGGGGAATATAATTCAAGTTATAACTACATGTTATAACTTGAATACATTGTTTACATTGTGACATGAGTGTCCCTATGAGTGTTAGTATACCTGTGTCTACTATTCAATAAACAACTTGTGCTATAACTAAATTTTCACGTAACATAATTTTGTGTTTTTTCACTTTTAAAAAAAAGTTATTAACACTGAGTTTTAAAAAGTTAATGAGAAGACTCAAGTAATGAAAAAAAAAAAATGATTAGGATCACCATGGGGTTTAAGAAAAGGGGATTGTCAAAAAGTATGAAGATGGCATGCATATCTGGGACTTGGGTACCATATGCCAAGAATATCTACGATTGTTATAAACAAAGATGCTATTAAACTGTGTGGTATTGTGAATGAGTGAAATCGAGTACCAAACACAGATAGATTAGAGGAGGGTAAAAAATTGCTTTGCTTCTGGGTAACAGAAAAACGTTTAAATACAGTATTCCATTTATATTCAATATATATTTTACCCAAAGCATTTGTTTTTAGTATTAAACAATACTATAATAATAACAATAGTATTTTTTATAAGAATGAATTATTTATTTTCCCTTAATTCTTATTGGAAAGTTCATTTGGCATATATCCTAGGATCTGGAATAGATTAAAGACATATACTAAGATACCACTATACTTATCTTTAGTGAGTCCTATCTTATGGCTACTGTATATAATTTAAAGTCCATTCTCAACATTCATAGTTATGGTGTTTCTTGAAGATGATAGATAATAAGCATTCCTCATTTTAGGTTTGAATATTTTATGAATAATAAGTATCTATACGATTATGTACATCACTCTCCTTTAATTAATATGTCATAGAAACTTCTCATAGCCTCTAGTAAAATACTCTATGTATACTCAGCAGATAAATTCATTGCTACGATTATAGAACCACTGTGGCAAGCACTTTCTATAACTTTTTCCATATTTACTTTTCATTTTACTACTTAAAAGTAATTTCAAAATTTTGTTTCACAGTTCGGGGGATATTTTTAATGATTTACTTCAAATGAATTCTTATAATTTAGTCTGTGCTTACTTACTGATGATGTTTCATGTTTACTTATTGATAATAAACATATTTCATTTATTGAGCTGTTAATTTTTATGTATTAATTTATCATTTTTGTTCTCCTATTGACATCAAAGTAGGGTCTTGTAGAAAAAGTGTGTCCTGGCAGTGTAAGGAGCTGATGATAAACTATACAGCTTAAGATCTTTATCTTCCATATTATAAAAATATATTTCTTATTGCTACAAGGATTGAATTGTTTGATTATGGCAAAGTCCACTGAGATTATCAGCCAAGGAGAAAAATACTTTCTGGGAGAAACTGCCTAACATTCACCATTACGCAGGGTGAAAAACCACACGCACACACACACACACACAAAAAAAAAAAAAAAAAAACCATGCACATTCAAAATCAGCTACCAGTTTTGGGCGGTTTTATTCACTGGTGACTTTTATATACAGCCCTTTAAATACAATGTAATATTTTCATACTTTTCAAAGGAAAAAGCATTTTTAAAGGAATGTTTGCTGTTCAAATCTCATCTTCCATTCAGTTATGGTTATCTATTCAAGTGGAGTAAGTGTGTATGTGTTTGGATGCATGTGCGTGCATGCGCTAAAATTATAACTTCCTAAGTATTACTAAAATACAAAAGAACAAGTGGAGAACTTGTAAAAATAAAATAAGAATTTAAGTAAAAGAGAAGCAGCCTCGACCATATAGCCAAAATATTGTAAGTCAGCATGAACTATTTTTGCTCCCCTCTGGGAATGGACAAAAATAATTCAATTTCCCATTCTAATTAATTGGTACGGTAGATCAACATTTCTGATACTATGCAATTTTCACACCAAAAGACGAAATAAAATCGAATAATTCAAAATAATTGCACATCTCCATATCCTGTTATTCACTTTTCTCTTAAATTAGATGGTATTAAAAAAAATGAGATTATTGAATATTCATGATCTTGATAATTGTATCTTTGGCTATTTTTAGCGCCATATTTTTTACGTTTTTATTTTGAATATTACATTTATCTGAATCATTTTAATAGTCTGAATTATTATTTGATCAAGCAATGAATAATATTCTTTTAATAAACTGATATTATATTCACAACTTTGTGTTATTCATTGTAAATTACACCACTCTTACTGCGAGATATATGATGAAATGACTTACAGCAAGAAACTAAGTTGCTGTATTCTTTGTATTAAAATTGTTATATTTTAGAAAAATTAACATATGTTAAAATATATAATTTAGTATAAATTTTATTGTCCTTGTATTATTGATTGTAATCATTGATAATAAAACTGTAATAAATCAATTATAAAATAATACTAATAAAATTATAGTAATAATTGCTGCAGAAATTAAATCATAATTATGGTTTTATTGAAATCTGGTTAATTATTAAAGGGCAAGTTGTTAAAGCTAATAACTGTAATTTTATTTCATATGCATATTAAATCTGAAATTGCTTTACTAAATTATGCCCTTACATATTTTTAAAAAGTATTTTCATGATTTTTTCTACCCCAAAATCTTTAACAAATTTGTTATTGGGTTTTCTAATTTATGAAATATAGTAAAATCTGAATTCAGTTGATTTTTCAAAGCCTGTCTAAAAGGTATTGGAAACGGTTGTCATTTCATGGTGGGAATAATTCACTTCATGGGAATACTTCACTTCATGGATGGAACTGTTTTTTGTAATTTTAGATTTACATACATGTATGTTCATTATTAAATAAAGTGCCAGACTTCTAAATCCATTGTTAAAACTTACAAATTTTGAATAATTCTTTCTTTAGCATTATGTTTGATTTTGAATTAGATATAACGGAGCATTATTTCAGTTTTCATAGCTGTTTTATTACGTAAAATTTTGTTTTAAAAAATTTTTTTCTTTCTTTTACAAAATAGCCTCCCATGATTTTCTCATTAGTATATATTCCTCTAAATACTATTTTCTTTAAATAAGTTCAGTACATTTATTATATGTGTTATCATCATCTAAGCACAGTAGGACTTTTTGTCAGCTTATTTTCTGTTATTTTCTTTAAGAAGTAAAATATTTCTATGGTGTTGGTTGCAAAATAGATTTAGTGTTTGGTTTAAAAAAAAATGGTAATATTTTCAAGTTTTAATAAAATTTATCTCATTGCCTAGCAGTTATTGCTAAATAGAAATACCTTTTCCACCATTTAAATCAGTTGTTATAACAAATTTAGTATCATCTATACATGTGATGATCTTAGCAAATTTTCCCCCTGTTATTTGTCATTGCTATTTTTAGCAGCTTGTTTTAAGTATGAGATTTTATGTCCGCTATTTGAAATTTCTGAAGGATTTAGCTCTAAACTAGTGGGTTAATCATATCAGTTTAGCTTACATTATTTTAAGCATCAAATTGAAATCAATATATAAAGATTAAAATTTAATATTTTGTTAACCTTTTTAAGCTTTAATCATTGCATAATTATAAGTAGGCTGTAATATAAAATTTCCAGTAGATTTTTTTATTAATTAAATTTTTTTTTACTGAAAAATGTAAATTCCTCTGTGAGTTCAAATTGCGTGTATTTATTTCCATTAACAAAATTAATAATTTTAATTTTCTCAAGTGATATGTTTGCATGTTGATGATATATTACATTAACCGCTGAAGTATGCAACAATATACTATGAAAAAATATACAAACTTTTTTTGGGGGAGGCAAAAATCACCTTTAGAAGTGAGAAATAGAATTGCTATATTCATTTTACTAAGAATATATCAAGTAAATCTCTTAATCGCATTATGTCGAAAGTGTCGTAATTTTATGTGTGTTGGAAATAGATATGAATCTACAAAGATTTTATTTTTTTTATCAAGGAATTTTTAAACATAAGAAAAATTTACAAAATGATTTATAAAAATTTTAAAGTGCTAAATTAGCATGCCAAATCTGCAAGTCTGAGAATGAATGAAAAATATGAAAAGAAACCGCTCTTGCACTAGAAAAATATACATATACTATATATATACAGTATATTCTAAATATATATTTAGATAAATATAAAATATCCTAAATATTTATATATATATATATCTATATATATTTTTTTTTTTTTTTTTTTTTTTTTTTTTGTGTTTGTGTGTGTGGAAAGAACAAACTTTTACTTACTCTTATTCCTGTTAGACCTGAGTAAATGCTCTGAAAATACCTCAAGAACTATGTGCATTGGTTAAAATTATTCTTGTACTTGGGATTCCATTAATAAATTATACTTAATTAAGCAGAAAAATTACTATGATTTGAGATGTCCAAAATTTATTGTGTTTAATGGAATATTACAGAAATGCCATTAACTGTACTGTATTAAATAAAGTGTGATTTTGCACTTCCACTGTTTTTCTATCTGTTCCTATGGAAAATTTACCATATACATATAAGAAGTAAAATATTTCAGTTTAAATAAAATTTATTGCAATTTTTTATAGTAACTTTTACTTTTTTTTATATTTTTTAATGTAAATAGTCTCCTGCCATCAGTGTAAAATAGTATAATAACCATACTTTCTGAATTTACTTAATCAAATAGTACTATGTTTTATGAATATTATGAACATAAAACATATATTTTCCTTGGATGTCTTCTGTCATTGATGTTGTCCTTAATATTTTAGGGAAAATATTCAACTTTCAAATGAAGTTCGAGCTAAACTTATGGAAGCAAGACCAACAAATGTAAGTTTGTGTATATATGTTTATCTCTCAAAATCATTATCTTTGCTATGAGAAACTATTTTTGTGAGTTCTTCATTTGAAGTATTTTTCAGCAAAATAAATATTTTGGGTGAAAATGTAATATTATCTGATAAAACTAGTTCTTATTAGATGTATAGTTTTTATATCCATATTGTAAATATTTGATTCTTTAGTTATGTTATCTGTATGTTTTAAAGTGTTTTGATTGTATCGAATTTGGCTTCTAACCAAGGTTTGTACTGCCCGGGATGTGCAGTCCTTAGTAGGGGACAGTGTTACGAAATGTACAGGCGCGGTAAGATGGCTTCCCCGCAAAGCAGTTTTAGGGTTGCTATAAAATGACAAGATAAAGCAGGGTTGCCATATTTGGCAAGAAATTGCCCATTTGGCAACAAAATTGGCGATATACCATGGACAGATGGAGAACCTTCTGGAACAAATTCTTACCAGTTTAGCCCAGAATGTTCTCGAACACAAGCCGAAAGCTATATAAACCCTGCTGGTCTGCAGTCAGTTAGTGTGTGTGCCTCGTCTAGAGTGCGAGTTAGTTAGTATCGAGTATGTGCCTCATCTAGCGAGTCAATCCCTGCGGAGTCAATCGAGTTGACAGCCTAGCAGCGAGTGCAAAGTGGGTCTTCAAGTGCACCGAAAGAGTCTTGTAGTGTATCGCGGTTAGTGCATCGTTGAGTGAGCATGTTAAGCTCTGGGAATGACTGAGCCAAAGAGTCAGGAGCTGTGCTCTATGTGTCGTCGAGTTGTAGTGTGGAGAGTCTCGAGAGTACGTGGAGTTCCGAGAACAACCATGCAGTGTCAGAAGCTGTACTCTGGTGCTTTGCAGTGAAGCTGTCTCCACCGTGATAGCCTGATAACCTGAAGGCTGTGTTACTGATTGTTTTGTTCCAGCGAGTGTATAGTAGATCTTCAACGACTAAAAAAAGTGACTTTGGAGGTGTCCTGATTAATCTTGGTAAATAAAGTGTGTTTCGATACTTCATCAAGTGTCATTGTCATCCACTCCAAACCCACACGAACCTCATATGAAAGTGAAGGAAGGAAAAAAACGTAACAATTGTTGTCAGGAGTTGGGTTTGCGAGTGAATGCCAGTGACCCGCCTGCAGAGGAAAGCCATGGCGGAAGAAACGAAGTTTTTGTTGGACCTTTTAGCCGATTGAAAGCCGGACAGGAAGAGATGAAAGCTGAAATCAAAGCTGCACTGAAAGAGATGAAAACCAGACTGTAAGAGAAGAAAGCTTGGCGAGAAGAAATAAATGTCAGCCAAGAAAAGGTACGAGAGCAACTCCGACAGGTGAAAGGGGACCTTACAGAAGAAACTGGAGCCATAAAAGACGATGTGGATATGAGAGAAGTGGCTTCTGAAGAATCAAAGGATGAGGAAATGAAGGTAGTAGCTAATAAACTGTCTAAGAAAGATCAAGAAATGAAGAATGAAATATCTAATGGGATTAAAGAAAATGAACGAAAACGTGAAGAAATGAAAGATGCGAAAGAAGCTTTTGATTCTCAAGTGCCTGAAGAGGAAATAGAGGAAAGTGAAAATGCGACTGTTAAGTTCGTCAAAACTGATAGTGAAATTACGAAGTCGCAGTTAGCAAGAATTGAACCATCTGAAAATGCATGTGATGCAGAGATGGAAGAAGCTGATGTAGAGCTTATGCAGGGTGCACCAGTATTGCAACAAGATTCTCCCATTTCACAAACTGAGTGTGTGTCTCCTAATACAAGTTGTACAGACATGAACTTAATTCTAAGCGAGGTTACTTGTGTTTGTAAAGAATCGGATTCCGTTCATGACTCTAATGTAAACATCGGAAATGATTTTCAGGAAATAGAGGTAAATCAGCATGTACCAGCTGCTGAAAATACCGAGATTAACTGTATGCATGCTGCGAATGAACTAAAAAGTGGTGAACAAACTGTTTTGAATTTTCCTGTGGATGAAAAAGCTGAAAGAACTGATTCTTCAGACTGTGATATGCAAAACATAAATGTGTCTGAGAACTGCAGTGGAAAAGTATTTGACTTGGGTATGAAAAGACTGAGAATGAAATTCATTCTTAACTTTAATTTGTATAATTTAAAATTGTTATGTATTTAATTTGTGTATCTAACTTGTATGTAGTGTAAATATTTGCTTCTTTAGTTATGTTATCTGTATGTTTTAAAGTGTTTTAATTGTATCGAATTTGCTGACCAAGGGTTGTACTGCCCGTGATGTGCAGTCCTAGGAGGGGGGCAGTGTTACGAAATGTACAGGCACAGTAAGATGGCTTCCCTTCAAAGCAGTTTTAGGGTTGCCATATTTGGCAAGAAATCGCCTGTTTGGTGAAAAAATTGCCGATATACCATGGACAGTTGGAGAACCTTCTGGAACGAATTCTTACCGGTTTAGCCCAGAATGTTCTCGAACACAAGCCGAAAGCTTATAAACCCTGCTGGTCCGCATTCAGTCAGTTAGTGTGTGTGTGTGCGTGACCTTCAAGAGGGAGAAGGCCATGACACTTTATAAACGTGGTGCAGCTTTCCGTCCGATGTTATCATCGGAAAGTCATCTGGAGTTTTAAATTTCCATCGGAAATATAAATTTATCATCTTGCTTAGTTAATTAAAATAGCTGAAAGAAAGGAGGCTTTATATACATTATTTTCACTTTTAAGGCTTTTTACAGATATTTTAATTAACTTTGTGTATAAATATAATTGAAAGAACCGAAGAACAAATGAACATTTTACAAAAATTTAAACGCTGATTGAAAAATTACCACTGTCATGATAAATTGGGAAGGGGTTCTTAAGATAATAATTAATATTTTACGTAGGTTCAAGTATTAATTTATTCGCATTCCAGAGCAAAATTTAACCATCAATTTCTATACCTCCAATGTAATGTAAATGAAATACTATATAAATTAGCAAATAAATGTGATAAAAATACATGAATAATAATAGCAAATAAATGTGAATTCATACAAGAAATGTACCTAAATCTTATAACAAAGAAGCCTTCCAACATTCATATTTGAGATAACAAACATCATACACAACTGGCAATATTTAAAAAAACACATAAACAATGCAGTGTTTGAAAGTTACCAGAAAAAAGTAACAGAACTACTATTTCCAATTAGTAAAAAATCATTTAGTGTTTTTTTAAATAGCAAGCTGTTAAAAGTACTATAATTAGTAGCAATGTTGATGATTTTTAACATCATTTCTTTTGATCATATGTAAATATATATATATATACTTGTTTTAGACAATGACAGACTCTCACGGCCCTTTTATTCATTTTTTCAAATCAATAACATTCCTTTGGATACTGCGCAGAAATGATTTGAATAATATACACAATAGTAAGAAGAACTGCACATTTAAATTTGCTTTTCATTAAATAGCACACAACAAAAAGTTTTTTCCCATTTATCATGAATTTTATTGCTATCACAAGCATGTACAAAAATTAACAATGAAGATAACTTGCAACATTCGTATTCATAACCAAGAGCTACATTACAAACTCAAAAAGAAAAATAACAGAACTGCAATTTGCACTTAATGTAAAATTTAATGTTTTTTAAATATTATACGATTAAAAATGCAATAATTATGGATTACAATATTTAGTAGTAATGCTGATGTTTCTTAACACCATTTCTTTCAATCATATGCAGGTGCATATGCATATTTTTAGCTTCTAAGCTTTAGGATAATGGGAATTACGATTATCATTTATATGCTTTTTAAAATCATTAAGCTTTCTTTGCATAGTACATGAAAGAGCTTTCAATAATATGCACAATAACTTACTATGTGCATTAAAATCTGCTCTTCATTAAACAGCATGTCAAAATCTTTTATTATTATTATTATTATTATTATTTATTGCTTCCTTATTATCACATATATAAAATTAAGCAACAAAGCTAAAGTTATACTTAAATATAATAACAAAAATCATATAATCAAACATTCACATTTATTGTTATTTATAGTGGTTTCTTAACATCTTCTCTCTCTATCATACCTTAACATATTCTATTCTTTGAAATAATCATGATAATTTCATTAAAAAAATATGTTTTCTAAAATCAGTAAACTTTTTCGCATAAACTGCACAGAAAATCTTTAAATATACACAGTAGCATATCATATGCATTAAAGACTCTTTTCATGAAATAGCATACAGTGAAACTTTTTTTTATCTCATTTATCATGAATTTTCCTGCTATCACAAATATATACAAAAATTAAGCAATGAAATCAATATACTTTAGTAGTAAAATCTCTAAATTCAAACATTCATATTTATACTATGGTCATATCTTAGCAAATACATATAACCTATCTTTTAAATGGCATAAGCTATGCAATGCTTGGAGTTACAAATACTATAAGGAAATTAATAAAACTGCATTTTACAATTAAGAAAATAAAAATACTTAATTCTTTTTAAATTTCTTTAGTTTTCGTTCATTTGAAGCAGAAAACTTACTATCTCTAATACTTTTGTATAATTGTGTAAAATGTTTGCAAATGTATTTAACATTTTGATGACAATATTAAAGAAATCACAGTTGCAAGACTGACATATTTCATTACCAAGTAGCGCATTAATAAAATATTTTAAAAAAAGTGAAATAATGACTGAATGCTGATTTTGGCATTTTTGAAAATGTTTCATATTTCTTTGATATAAGTTTTCTAAATATGCAACAACTATGGATTATAATATTAAAAACTAGTATGGACGGTTTTTTAAGACCACCTCTACTTACCATATCTAAATATGTGCACTTATCTTTGGTTTCTATTGTTTGAGATAATGAAAAATTTTCATAATCTCCCCCTTCAGTCAATAAAATATCCAAACTTAATATCTTTTCTTTGCAGATTACACACTACAGTTTCAAAGAATATACAAAATAACCAGCTATATATATTAAAGCTTGCTGTTCATTTAT